AGAGACAAACAAAAGAGGATAGAGGGGCAGAGAATTAAGATCGGGCTGCCAATTTTGGACGATTCTTTAGGTTCAAACTATGTCCAAAGGTTTTGAGTCAGGTGGGACAAGGGAGGAAGGGTCAGTGTGACAGATGCTCTCTGGCTGGCACTTACTGGAAACCCATAGTGCTGATCTGCAGCTAATAATAGACAAACCACTGAAAGAAACATAGTGGATGATGTGCTCTCTCAGCTCTTTGAGAGCTTGTAAAACCAAAGTTTTATTGGTTCAGCTTTTTGTTCAAACTTCAGCAAAAATGCTGTGGTTATTAAGAGGACATGTTAACTTCCCAGATTTTGCTGACAATTCTTAAATATATCACAGCATCTGCAACGAAAAAAAAAAAAAAAAGAAAAAAAACTTTCACTTCTGTCTACTTGCAGATGTTATGATGAAAAAATGGACGTAAAAAATAAATAAATATCAGCCTACATCACTTTTTTTGTATCCATCTTTTAAAACCCAGAAACTCATTTTGTCTCTCACTCAAAAATTTCCATGATAACCAACAAGCTGCAATATTAGCTTATTTGAAACTCTAAATCCAGAGCTGCTTTGAATGTTGGCTCGCTCTTTTTTGAGCGCAATAAGACGGGGAGGCGTCCGTGTTCATTTCTGTCAACGACTTTGATTCTTGGCAGCAAGCTTCTGGGCAAACACTGGGGTCTGGATGAAAACGCAACAAAAACAGAATTTTGCTAGAAGTGTACAATGTAGTTTGGAAAGGGATTTGATAGATGAATAGATGACTACATTCTTTCTCAGCTGACAAGAAAGAGTTTGCACTTAGTCATGATCTCATTATTGAATGATTGGTTGTGCACATATTTATTAAGTTCTACTGTTAGAAAATCATTTTTTTACACAAAGCTCTCATTCAAGTTTTGGGCTAAAAAAAAAACAACCTTTTTTAACATCTTGCATTCCAATTTTATTAGTAATTTCCTGAACATCTTGTATAAAAATGGATTTAATCTCCATGTCCTCGTTGTGAAGTCAGTCCAACTAACTGTTGCATCAGCCGTGTCCATCAGAGCATTTCTGGAGTCATATTGAAGTCACAGCACAATCTTAGCCACAATGCCCTACCGATGTGGCACGTCGGCAAGCTAGAGGAGGGTTCCAGGCCAAATTTCTCCAAAAATGTCAGATGTTTTCTAATAACTGAATTCATTTGCCTACTAGGAATCTGATGGCTACATTTTTAATGAGAAGCAAAAGAAGAGGTCAGTGTGTTTCGGCATCTTTTCATCCTTCATGTGCAAGTAAATCTAAGGAAATGCAATGGAGGAGCACTTCCTTTTGAACTCCTCCAGTTCCCACCCTACGAAAGCAACAGCCCAGTCTCGGGAGAGTTAGAGTTAGGACGAGGATAAGCCCGTTTGGGAAGATTCAGTTCTAGAGACTGTAATGCTCAGCAGCAGAGAGAGGTCATTAGTTTATCTAAGGGAGATGGAAACAGCAGCCGCAGAAAGCAACAGAATGAGCTCCTAACGTACCGAAAACACATAATCTTCTCTGCTGCTTGTGTTTGTGAGTGTCTGTATCTCAGAGCCATGCCAAGAAAGAAAAATGATCCGATTCTCCCTAACTGGTGGTCACAACAGTACCACAGAGATCAGGGTAAAAGCAAGTGCCTGTTGAACTGTGCATATGCCCATTAGTTTTTTTTAAGATTTAGGTTCATAAGCACAAGCTTCTCTTCGAAGCTTCAGTTCATGCTAGGGCCACTTTACGAGCACACAGCCACGCAGGATTGATAGAAAAGCTCCGGGTGATTTTCCGGTCCGAGTCACTCGCCTAATTTCTTAGCTTATTTTCAGAGCGCTAGACGCTTATTTCCTTTAAAGTCACTCCTGACAATCTAATGCCAAAGCTGAAATCACTAACAGTCGTAAACCCAACTGTCAATTTGTAAAACTAGCTCTAAAGAAACATATACACGTTTTACAAGTTAGATGCTGACCAGGATTTTTTTATTCCTCCATACTGATTACATTCATTTAAGAATAGGCATTTGTTGATAATGTGCCCCAGGAAGTGCGAATATGTTGCACCTACAGAGGGTTAAACTAAAGCTGCAAAATTATGATAATTTGCCACCTGAAATGTGCATATTTTTTTTTTCCTAAACATAAAACTAAAAACAGGACCTGTATTCCCAAGGATTCTCAAATCACATCCTAAAACATCCTCCAAATGAATCCCAGCTTAAGTGTGATTTAGCCAGCTGCTGAGATCTAATACACCTCACTAATCAGAAATTACCAATCACTGACTTGGATTAAGAAAAGTATGTTATGATGATGATTCTATGCAAAATGAAACGAGTTGCCACACAGCATTAGCATGTTTGATCACACTCCATTTACATCCTCATCATCATTTTGATTTGTCTCAGCTTCTTGCCATGCCGGTAATTTCCCCATATCATCTATTTGATATCAACGTCTGTACATAACTGTCGGTACATTTTTGCGATCGCCTGTTTGTACAAACTTGTATGATCTGGTGAAACAACTAACAGCCTCTGCAAAGAAAAAAAAAACAAACAAAAAAAAAACATACCCGTTTTTCTAACTGTCTGGCATTAAATTTAATTCGTTTATTGCCCATAAAAGTGGCCGCACATCTCTCGTCTTTTTTTTTTTTTTTTTCAAAATTATTTTTCTCACGTGTAAATTTACTTTAATCTGAGGAAGTTATTTTTAGTTGCTGTACAGTATTATTTATCATTTGTTACAAATTTACTCTTATTGCACAGTCTTATTTTTCTGTTTTTTTTTGTTTTTACCTTTGGGTTAATGTGCATTCTTCCATTTAAGTTGCTGCTGGTACAACTTAACTTCCCCATTTAATGAAAAGGCACAAGTTCCCTATGCATCAAAAAACCTACACAACATGATTCTGCCGCCCCTGTAATTCTAGTTATGAGTCAACCATTCAGAAGCTTCTGAAGCAATGAATGGTTGCTAAAGGCAACAACAAATTACCAATGACATTTGAGGCTTTACAAGGCATTTAAAGGCATAGTAATGGCCTATAAATCAATGACCTTGTGAAGTCTAAAAAAAAAAAAAAAAAACCTTGGCTATAGAACTACCAACAAGCTTTAAATTTCACATTTAACCCCTGTCAGATGTGCCAACTATACAATGAGCTTTACTGAAGAGCTAATAAAAATTGGATGTCAATTTGACTGCATTAACAGCACTCTGCTGTCAATCAAATTAGCAAAGTAAAGAGGAGGGGATGGGTTCCAGGGGGAACTCGCTTCTGGCTCCTGCTTCTAAAATCCTTTCAAGCAACAGCAGTTTTTATCATTCAGGGGAAAAAACTCATTTTAAAAACATTACATTTTATGTTATGAAGAACATTCTAGGGAGCAAATAAAACAACATGTGCGTTTTACATTAATCGCTGCAATGCAACATTCAGATTTCAGATGTAGAAGTATTAACAAGCAGAATGGATGCAAGTTTGGGTGTTATTTGTGTCCAACACGTCTATTGGTCTTAAATAAGAACAATATAACTATCCAGAGGATTTATATATTAGAATACAACAAAAATAAAGGCATTCAGAATCTAAGTTAAAAGTCACTGACCCTTTAACCAACATATATTCCTTAATATATATATATATTTTTTTCATTATAAAGAATATTTCCAGAAATCTCCAAAAGGCAGGACTTAATAATTCTCCACCTTACTCTTATTACCAAGAAAAACACGAGTACATTTTTGTGCACACTATATTTTGCAGAAGAAAAAAAAAAAAAAAAGGTGCAGTCCATGACGCTTAAAAACAGTTTTGTCTGAGACATCACTTTCATATTTCATTTTATTTTGTTGTGTATGGGTTTTATCCCATTATCTAGTGCACATTTGGGAGAAATCGATAGCCGAAACCGAATATGGATAAATGGTATAAAAATTAAGAATCTAACAAATGCAACAAATAAAAACAAAAACATCCGCTTAGATCTTTTATTTAGATCAAAGCAAATCTAAGCACAAACAGTCAAAGAGTGACTAAACTCAGAGCCAATATTGCTGTTAAATTACCTTTTAATTGGTATTCAGGTAATGTTTACTTTTTGCACTTTTCGGTTGCCTCTGATTTGTTAAAATGTTTCCATTTAACCAATTTAACAGATCTGTTATTTACAAGATAAATGTTTTAATATGTAAATATTTATCGTTTTTCCATTTTCTCTATTTTCCTAATCACATGTATTCCCATTTGACAAAAGAAAGAGAAGGTAAATTGTCAAAAGTAGAAATTAGAAAGAGACGTGCTGAAAGGTGACATATTACTATGCTAAAGATCCCAGTGGTCCACAGATACTGATAACAGTGTCTTCATAACACTGCAGAGACACAGCCTGATAAGACTGATTCATTGCTCTGTTTTCCTCCTATCTGCTGACTGGTGATCCTGTCAATTTTCTGCCACAGTGTGACATTTTAGTCAATAAATGTGAGCTTTGAAACTTACTGATGGTCTGCACTTCTTCTAACAGCTCCAAGCAAAGCAAACACTCAGTAAAAATTAGCATGTCCACCTAAGTTTTCATCAATGTCACAAGGAACTGAAGTCAATAAAGCCATGGGACTCCAGCAGAGTGACCCGGGGCATCCTGCTGACTGTACTTTTTCGATTGACGACAGAGTCCAGGTGCTTCTAAAGAATCAGCTGCCACCCTCCAATAGTATTGTAAAAAAAAGAAAAAAAAGAAAAAAAGCAGGTCCCAGGTCTGATTATGTTAAAATTGAATCTTAGTAATATATACATTTTTAACAAACACTTTACTTTTAGAAAACACAGCTCAGGCAGGTCATGAAAATCTGATCCAGTTTCAAGGTTATAAAAGAGACAACGGTAAGTTCACCGCTGATTGAAAACCAAAGGAAAAGACTCAAAAGGGAAGAAATAAGTCAGTGAGATTTGCCTACCTCATCGTAAGTGTAGCGATAGTCTGCTTTCTTTGATTTCAAATCCCACAGGACCACGATCCCAGACTCAAATCCAATTATAAGCTGCAGAGGAAGAGCAACAACCATTCAGTGAGACCGGGGGATAGAGTCGACCCTCTGATGAGCTGAAACTGAAGTAATACTCTTGACATTCCAGCACAGTATGATAGAAAGTCGGTGTAAGTAGCAACCTGCTACTCCTGGTTGACAGCAGAAAAGGCAAGGGAAAAAAAAGGCTTGCAAAAAGAACAAAAGGCTGCTTTGATTTTTGACAACCTATTTAAGGAAACAAAACCTACCACACACATATTATATATATATATATATATATATATATATATATATATAAACAGAAAGCTTTACATGTGCTGAGACTTTTAGATTCATCTTAAAACGTGAAGCAAATAAATAAAATGAAAAGAAATAATCTCAGCACTGTAAAGGCGCATTCTTACAGTAAGTGTTTTACAAATGAAGATAAATAATTTTCTTAAAATCTTTTTTTTAAAAATCTAATTTAAAGATATTTAAGTTTGCAGCTGTCATGTAGCAAAGTGTGAAGGTAGTAATGATACTCTACATGCAGTGCATATTGTGGACGCTGTATTTGCTGGGAAGCCTATATGAAGAAATACGTTGCAACATCAATGTTGTTCATGCAAACATTAAAATATGTATGCATGAAGTCCTTCATTTTTTTTTTTTTACAGTGCTACATTTTTTGACAGAATGATGGCTGAGAGAGCTCACAGACTTATTAGAACAGGCAGACGGATGAATCACAAACGCATGTAGAAGACATGTTCATCTGTTTGACAGCAAGAGTGCCACAAACATGCTCAAAGCATTAATTAGATCATTGTGATTTGATTGGTCACAACATAAGAATGAAGGGTATTGCTGGAAAAAAGGACAGGTAACAAAAATGTTTCCAGTGACTGGAAAAGGATTGCGACACAATAACGTTTTGTTACTTTGAAACACAGTGACCAGCAAACTGCAACAACAGGTGTACAGCAGTGGTTTGTCTGCGTGACCATATTTAGTTTTCTTTTGGTCGACAGGATAAAAGTTTCTAGTCATGTGTTTTTCAACTTTAGAAAACAGTTGCTTGGTAACTCCAAGCATTCATAAAAATGTCAATTTATCAAGTGTTCTGAAGAAGGGATAAGCAGAACAAGAATTTGCAATAAGAACGGAAAAAAATGACCGAATATTCACAAGCAAAACACCTAGTTTCATTGCTGTGTGTGATCTAAACAAAAAACAATAATAATAACCTGCGTTCTTAGATTACTTCTGTCCCACAGCTTGAAATGGTTCACTTCACATGAACCATTTCTGTTAACCTCCCTCAGTTAACTTCCAACTTTGCATGGGTGATTTAAAAGTACAAGTTAAATTCAGATAACAAAACTGCTTTAAGTTAGAAGTTTTCATCTCATATTCACGAATGTCATGTTATTCATATTCACTATGCTTCTCCGAGTATTTAGTTGAGAGTATTTAAATAGGTTAATTTCCAGGAAGAGATCCAGCTTTTAAAATTAAAATTCCATTAAAATTTTAACAAAGCCAAATTCAAGGTTATTCCACAAACTTGATGTTAACATGTATCAATTATCAACATGTCAACATGTTGATAATTGTTTTGTTTGATAAACTAAAACTTTATCAAACAAGTTTTAGTTTGCATTTTGGATCACTATGTAGTTGGAACAACAAATTGTTTCCAAATTCCAACCATCTATATGTTGTGTTGAGACAAAATTGAAGAATTTGGAGTGTGTCCATTTTTCTCAACCACGTTGTGTAATTCACCCGTATCAGTGGAATTGAAAACAAAATCCTCATCATGTTGCTAACAACTTGGTACAGTATTCTCTCAATTCTTTGACAGACTTCCAAACATTCTTCTCATTATTATAATCAAAGAGCTCAATCTTTATCTGCTTTAAACCTGAAACTGTACAGCAGCGTTTTAAATGTAAATGTCAACAACCATGAATTTCAGTCAAGCATTTGGTTATTTGTTTTGGAGCAGGATGTTCTTTCCTCTCAGTCTATATTGATTTTAAACCTGCTTAAGTGTGAGCAAGAACTGTGGTGCGTCACTAAGGTCTTGTTTACACTCGGCTTGAAACTTGTTTGGTTGTTCTTAAACATTCAAAACAGAAACTGGACACTACTGGCTACGATCTTAAACACATCCCATTACTGGTTTTGGAATCAAAGTAGCACAGTAACATTAAGTTTGAGGATGACCCAGAACTTAACCATGTTGAAAATGTGTGTAGTCATAAAAGTCAGGTCAAGGAAACCAAAGAGGTTAAAAGAGCTTTACCAATTCTGCCTAGATTTGCCCCCCCCAAAAAAATCATGTGCATTATGTGCCACTTACAAGAACATTTTACTAAATACAGAAAATCCACTATAAATTCAGGCTTTTCATTATCTGACATTGTTTGTTGTGTGATCATTCCACTCAGGGGAAAATCTGTTCAAATACATGATTGAAAGCCACTTATTAATAAACGTACATTGGTGCCTGCAATGTGTATGAAAACGTCTGACTGTAAATGGGACTAAGTATTAAACCACAATGAAGAAATGTGCAGCTGCAGACAAAAATGTTGTGCTTTACCTTTCCTTCATCCATAGGATTATCACTTATGTGGACAACTGGTCCCGGGTGAGACTTGGAGGAACTTATGAGAGACAAAAAGACAGAACAGAAAATGTATTTTATCCATTTTGATCTATGATACCCAAAATAAAAACAGCAACAGTGCCATGGGGGGAAAAAATCTGAGCCCCAATTACAGATTATTTCAGTTTTTTTGGTCAGACCCAAATCTTTGAGTTAATCAAACTATTTTTAACATATGGCAAAGATAACCCGAGTAAATTAAAGCAAACTGCTTTTATTGTTTTAATCATTATGGTATATAAAAATCAACAACAAAGTAAAACTCCCCAAAAGCATGTAGACATATAGCATATAAACTCCAAAAGCCTTAGAATTGGTTTTATGTCTTTTTGGCTACAACCACTTGTTCTTGAATTATTTTATATTGTGGCATAATGTGTTGTTTTAGAAACCTTTTAGCCTACTTCATGTTGTCAAGCAGGTCCTATGTAGGTGATTCCAGTCATTTGACAATTACATTGGTAATTATGTTGCCAATTATGACCAAAAACAGATGCTATTAATTCATCTACATTGAAATAAGTATTTTTCTTTTTAATCTATTTTTCATATTGCGTTTCTGTGAAAACTGTGTTAATACTTGCTTTAAAAAAATGTAATGGAAGCATTGTGTATATACAATGATATGTTAATTGACAATGTGCTTAGAGTGGTTAATGTCAGATCAATATGTATGTCTGATTAGTAAACAACTATTATTCAAAACATTCAGCTGAGAAAAACTGAATATAAAACCGAATAATGTACTTTTTTCTTTGGTGAAAGGATTGAAGGGAGAAGAGAGAAGACAACGCTGCTGCTGACCCCATGGTGAAAAAAGGCAGCCGAAAGACATAAATTCACCAAAGGTTGTGATAAATGACTGTGTCAGTCCCTGGTGGCTGTGTGTACGCGAGTTTATGCGTCTGTTAATTTGCATGTCCGTGGAGAAAGCCTAAAAACGCCTCTTCTCTCGTCCTCCTGTCTGTGTCTTACCCTCCAGACAGCTTTGTGCCAAATTCCCCGTTTCAGAAATTTCCTAGCCTGCTCTTCCTTTACGAGGTGAGATGGGAAGGTCACTGCTGAAAAACGGCAATTGTTGTTGCTGTAAAAGCATAACTCTTAAACGGCGGAGGAAGGATAAGGACACCAAACAAGGATAGGAAGGGGAAGCTAAATGAAAGATGCACAAAAGTGAGGAAAATTGGACACCTTCGTTTTGGTCCGGTTTATGACTGTGCACAATTTGTTTTTGGCACGCTGAAAAGCTGAAGGTGACGGATAGGATTTTCTGATGCTAAAATAAAACTGGAGTTGTACTGATGAAAGGTTACAATTACAGTTTCTGGTTCCAGTATCAGTTTAGGTCGAATACAATTTATCTCTGTGAACTTTAAAACGTAGCAGCCATATTTTTTTTTTCTACTTTTACACTAAAGTATAAAAGAAAAGAAAAACAACAAAAAAATACTCATGCAGTGAAAGCTTATTCTCAATCTTACTGACAATGTACGTCATGTGTCTTTTATAAATCTGTTCTTATGATAAATGGAAAATGAACTGAATTCGTTTAGTGCTCTCTAGTCAAACAAACAGAAATGCACATAAAGGTAAATCAGTTTATAACTTGGGAGTTCAGTGTCTTGCCTAATGACACTTTGAGGTGTGGTGGTGAGAAACTTAAAATCTCATTTTTAAACTTACATTATTAGCTGGTCCAGATTAAATTTCTTCCCAGTCACCATGCAATTAATTTGAGCATACCTGTATTACACTATTCAAGAAAAATGTAGATAGAAATAAAACTGCAACAAAAAGTTTTTTTTGTTTGTTTTTTTTTTGTTGTTGTTGTTTTTAACAGATGTGCATTGCCAGAATCTATAAATAAAATCAAAAGAAGAAAAACATATTTAACAATGGGTCTGTGTGCTCGTTTGTCTATTAGAAAGTAACAGTTAGTGGGCAGGCAGACAGTCAGTTGTCTCTATATTTAGCCTGTTGGTACTGGAGCCTTATTACCTAAGCTCTGCTGCAGCAGGATCTCTTGATGTGTCTAATACCCATTCACTGTCTGTATGTGAGCTAAGAGCTATCCACACATGCACGCACACATATTTGAACTCTTTCACACTTGCAAACAATATCCCCAATAGCATAAATAGCCTCCTTATGGATGTCAAAACCCGCCATCGTCACAGGGAGGTATGCTTACTTGTCCAACGACTTAATTCCATCTTTGCTATTCATCTTCAAAAATTCTGATTAAATTGTTTACAGCACATAAATCCAACACGAACATTTTCGCAAAGTCTCCAAATACACATTCAGGTTTGGAGATAAAGGAATCACCATGGCAACAGAGGCAGGATGGGCAGAGTGCACATAGGCTCCCAAAAACCATCTGTAGTCTGCCACGAGCAAACCGACACACCCACACAGACCAAAAGCTGTCAGGACATGCTTTGCTGCACACACACACACCTGTCTGTGTGTACATGCATGTGTGCTTGCTTGTCTGCATGCCGCTATTCTCACAGCACCTTCCACATTTATCACATTCCAGTCTTTTTCAGCTACTTATTCAAGGTTTTTCCATTTCAAAACAAGCACACACTCGCAAAACCTGGCGACTGCTTGAGTTAAACTGAATACCCAGTGGCAAGTATAACCTTGGTAGCTTCGGTTCAGACACTCATCTTTTATGCACCTGTGCTGCACCAAAATCCATTTCTGAGTATCACCACTGCCCAACCATGCTTTCAGTGCATTAAAGAGAATGGACTATTACTTTAGGTGTGTTTTGCAAGCAAGCACGCAAGTGCTGCTAGGCAATTGTTGGTGGGTGTGTTGATGGCACAGCGGGGATATTTAAGCAACAGAAAAAGAAACACTTCACTAAACTCAACATCTATTCAGGGGAAACGCAAGGAGTTTCTTTTTTTTTGTGCTTAATAAATTTCCAGTATTTAAAAAAAATGTAGCATATTATTTATATATTTTGCATCTTGCTTTCTGTAATGTGTTTAAACAATCTAATGCATCCTTGACCAGCACTTGCGCATACAGATAAAACCTGACACAAAGTTATGCACACAGAGAGCAAGACTCAAAACATCTGGTGTCATCGCAGGTGATGATCTCAGAGGCAGCTTGCAGTGAAACAGCGTGGCTTAAGCAGCATATTTGCAGTCTGTCCGTGCCATATGTGGCCTCATTTCACCTCAGTCAGAAGTGCTTACAGTCATTTTAAATCATATTTGCTCTTCATGTTTTGTTTTATTTAGAGCCATCTTTTTTCTTTACATAGAAGAAACTGCAGTATCTGTTGTTTAATCTTTTCTTTTTCTGTACTGAGTAAATAGGGCTACCATTGTCATTACTATTGTGTAGTCCCTCTCAATGACAAAGTATTTGTTATTGGCTCGATGTTTGTGTTCAGATGTGCCCCTAGCTATTGCTACCATCAACTTTGTTGTCTCTTGTTTTTGTGTTTCAGGGCCAGGTACACTTTTGCCAGTGTTTGTGTTCAACTGTGTCTCTGACTTAAGAGTAAGTTATCAACAAAGTAATGCTAATATTGCTTTCAACTGTTACCAATAATTGAAATTGACCTTGAGATTGTTTGAGGCTTCTGTAAATTAAACCTATTAGCATATTATTAATATTGCCAGGTGTAAGATCAGTATCAGGATTGTAAATAAACCACTGTTTTAATATTTAGATTATTTAGGACAAAACAAATGGACAAAATTGTGAGACCTACTTGAAATTAATTGGTCTTTTACTCAAATGTGTAATTTACAAAATTAAGACAAGGTAAAACAACAAGATTACTTTCTTTAAGCAGTCACTTCAACAATGGTTGTAATTAGAAATCCACTTACAGACATTTTTTTCCCTCTTTTCATGCATAGGGTGACGTCTTTGTACAAATACACAAAACTACAGTTTGCAAGAAATAGCATTAGTACAAAACACATTTACAATAGCTGCTGGCCTCTGAGAGAACAGGTGAAATAAAAAGGAGGAGATGCCTCAAGTCAAAATGCTCACATAAACTCAGAGTCGCAGGAAGCTGTGCAGATTCATCACTCTACTCTACCACACCTTGGACTAACTATGTGGCTGAATCAAGTTGAACTCACTCAGAGATGCACAAACGACAGCCATTCACATATCTTAAGACATTTTGTGCATTTGCACAAAATAGTGCACCGTCTGTGTGTTTACTTTACATTACGGTACAGTTTACAGCAAAGTAGCTTTGGAACAGAGGTGTGAGTCATGAGCACACAGCATTGGTTTGGGTTGGACAGGGCCGTGCCAGGCCTTGGGCTAAATGGCACAGCAAGTGCTGCTAGTCTCCAAATAGAAGGACCCAAGGGACAATGACCCCAGAAACCGCTACATCGTGGCCTATTAGCAGTCACAGGAGAATAGTGGTGCACTGAGCACAGTGTGGGATTTAACATTTAAGTACTACTTGCAACACTATACCCATGCTAATGGTAACAATGCAGGGGTTGTGTTTTAAATTGAGAATAATATAAAGAAACTGTCTCAAGACTGCCTGGCTTAGCAACGACAGCAAGACTTTTGTTTTCCCAGAATCCAAATTATATTTAAAGCAGCTACTACTTTCAGTTTTTTTAAACTAAATCTAAATCACTGGATCAGTGAGGTGGTTAAAAAAATCTGATCCGGTTAGAACCGAGTTAGAGAAAAGATGAAAAACGACATTTTACTGGAAAGGTTTCTGCAGTATATTAAGACATGCTTTGTGATCATTTAGTTTGGGAAGTAGCGACTCTTTGGAAGATAACAGGAAGGCTAAACAGTGCAAACAAAGTTGCTTTCTTTTATCCTTTTGACTTTTAACCTGTGTCTGTTATGGATTATCCTTGATTTTTTTTTTTTTTATGTTGATGGCCTTCTGGAAAGTAAGGTGTGAAATTGAATGCATGAGTTCTGTGTTAATAATAACAGCAGTGCTTACTGTGCTAACAGCTAATTTAAGATGATAAAGATAGAAAAATGTCAAGGCCATGATCATTTTGTCTTTGGTATAAGTATTTTTTTTTAAGACAAAAAACCTCTTTAACAGTTTCAATAATGGTAGGACATTGCCTTAGCTCCTAATATAAATTCATAATGACTTGAAAATAATATTTTTGCTGCTGTTCTAATATTCTATTATGCTACTCCTCAAAATCAGCATAATAAAGCAATCAGTTGGGAAAATGAGAAACGTGCAAATCTGTAAAGAGCTAATTCCAGTAAAGTGGAAACAGGACTACCCGTTAATCAAAATTACCTATATAATTGTACCAGTTGCAGTTGTAATCTCCTTCCTTGTCTTATTAAAACACAAGCGGCCAAATAAAAAGGGGTAAAAGAAGCTTTTGTTTCCTGGACACTGACCCCGTGACCTCTACAGCTGGCACAGAGATACAAGGACAAAGAACAAAAGGTTCGGCTCACACCTCTCTGATCTGCTTCAAAGCAAATCACACGCGTGCGCTCAAATATGCAAACCATGTGCTTCTGTAGCATATCAGAGAAATCAGTCCCGACACTTCGACCATCTTAAAGGATGTGATTTTCCTCTAAATTCACCAAGTGACTCTAAGTGGTCAGTGTAGGAAGTCCATTGGTAACATGCAGTTAATGGTTAATTTGTGCATATTTCATGTTAAATAACATGATTTTTTTTTTTTTACAAATAAATACAAACATTTCAAGACATTTAATTATAACTGATTAATGCTTTGCATTTAGAATGTTATGTTTTCTTTTATTGAAACAAAACTTTTTTTTATATACCTTTTAA